TTTTCTTGGGACTTATCGTCAAAAGATCTGTTGGTAATAATGAATTTACCAAAATTTATAGAAAATGGAAAATAAGCAGACCCGTATTTTTAATTTTGAAATCAGTTAATATCTAACCGTGTCGTCGCACAGTGGAACGTGCCCATATAAGCTGCGGCTAAAAGTAGTAACCGTACTACAAATTCGCTGAAATTTCGTATATGCTCTATTCTGCACTTAGCCAAGAAGAAATGTGGAGAATGATTTTTTGATTGCCCCTTTTTCATTTCGTGTTCGATCCTAAATTAAAAGCAAAGGGTGAGAAAATTGTATGTTCGTTTCCTAAAATGTCACACTCTTGTAAGGCAAAAAACCCAAATTATCTGCCCTGTGAAACAACAAAGGTTGATGGTCGCCCTGAAAATCAGATGGTTGTTTAAAACAACAATATTATGAAATGCGTGAGCTATACAAGGAGGCAAAAACATGCCTTTTTACAGGGTTGAGTGTAACACAAAACTAATTTTGCACCAGGAAGGGCAACATGTTTTGGAAGAAACGAAATCACCATTAAATTCTACTAACTAAATTTTATCCAACAAAATCGAAACTCGTCTGGAGAAGCGACCATTTCTGGCTGAGTACTGCATCCTAATTACAGATAGTGTTGCCATTTTAACTATTTTCCAGCTACTTTTAGCTTTATTTATTTTTTAGTTTTTATTTTAGCCGGAAAATCTGGTTTAGCTCCTGGGGTTTGTCTTAGCTTTTTCTTGAAATTAATTAGCTTCTTATTTTTGCTCAAAATTTTAAAATTTTAACTGCAAATGCTGTACTGATATTTTACTTCAGTGAGTTTTCATTTTAAAAAATATACCCTTCTAATATGTCAGACTCATTTGGGTACCAGCCCTTATTGATATTGCAGGGATTGCGTTGCGCAGAAGTTGGCCAGGAAACGTACCCCCGAGTTGTGATCACCGGGTAAAGAGTAGAAGTACTTTCTCTTTAGTAAGTTTATTGTGAGGATAGTTAAGTATTGGTCTCACGCGATGAAGCTAAATATCACACAGAAGCGTGAATGAAAACTTTGGTTTAAGCTGCCTAGATTCTGTGAGGCTACGGAAATTATTTTCTTAAGTACAAAATAAGTTCTTCCTTACAAGAATGCAAAAATATTTGATTTGTTAATTTAGCTATTTTCCTTTGACATAACTAAAATTTTGATCTAGCATTTTTAGCTTTACTTTTTGCCCATTTAGCCATTTCTCTGAGAAAGTTGTGGCAACTCTGCTAACAGATTCGCTAGGCACAAATGATAGTTCGGCGGGATAATGGTGGAACTATCAGGTGAATGCAAAATACTTCTTTTGGTAAAAGGGGATGTAATTTTCTTAAAGTTCCTTAAAATTCTAATGGAATTCTCAATATCTCCAACAGTTCGGAAATATGCAATTCTTCCAGTTAAGAAAGAAAAGTTGTATATGCTGGTGCCTATAGCCCAATGGTGGCGCATATTTATGGATTTCTGTAATACAATCTGGCTTTAGATCAAAGCATACATATGTATTAGCGTGGGCCGGAAATCCGCGTTTTTAGAATTTTGATTGGTAATAGCAAAAATATGGCTCATTATGCTCTAAAAAAATCTGTGTATAAGATTACAATTTTTGGTCAATATCTGAGGCTCACCCAAGTCCATCAGTGTTCAAGTGGTAATATTAAGTGGCTATATTTAGTTTCAAATATAAAAGAGAATTTATGTAAACATATTTATGTACATAAGCTAATACAACCTAGCTTCCCAACTAGAAGTTTCACCGGTTGCTGTCAGCGACACACAGCGGCCAATGCGTGCACTAACACAACTTCAGTTAGCCACCACCACCACCAACACACATAGGAATGCTTGCCACCACCAACCAGCCCCCAACATAACATCAAACCTGAAGCGATATGCCTAGCAACAACAGTGCCGTAAAAAGCAACAGCTGTTGCAACCGTCAAACACAATTCGTCGCGCTGCGCCAACACCACAACACAACAAATTCGCTCCCAACTAAGCCCCAACAGGTTGGTATGAAATTCGAAATCGCTGCAGGGGTCAAGCGGTTCGATAGCCCCACCGCATCACAATGCTCCTGCAACATGTTTGTAAGTTGGCTATGCGCCTGCGTACTTTCCATGCAGTGGCCAACTGCCAACTGCAAAAGGGGTCACAGTGCAGATGTTGCAAGTGGAGAATTTCGTTTGCAGCCTGCAGCAAGTCGCTGTTTACCAATGGCCGGAATCGTGACTATTTTCTAGGAGCGCTGACTTTTCCTGCTTGGCAGTCAGCTGCTCACTGGTTTAACCTCAGCGAAGGTTAGCCGCGCTGCAGCAGCGGCTTTAAAATGAGGCGGCATGCAGCCAAAAGATGGTTGTGCGCCTGTGGGCTGCTCTGCTCTGTGTGACATTTGCTGCCTGCGTCGCCAGCAGCGCCGGCATGGCATGAGTGTGGCTTTCGCTGCTCTCCTACTCTCCACAAAGTAATCCAATTAGTGTGGCTGGGCTCTATAAGCATCTTCTTGTGGTGGTTGCATTGTTTGTAGATTCGGGTTCGCCTGCTAGCCTGCCCGGGATGGCTCTGGTCTCTGGCTTGGCTCACTGGCTGCTTATGCAGAGGAGTTGAATATATTTTTCGTTGTTGCCACTGCCTCGCTTTTGGACTCGCACGATATACATATGTATGTACGTATATATCCAACGATGTTGCACGACGATGGCAGCGCTGTTGACGTCTGGACTTCGGTGCTTTCGTGTCGATTTTGTAGAAAATTTCTGCAAAACACAGTTTAGTGTAGACTCCCCGAGGTTTCGGTTGTATCGATAGTAGTTGTAGTGCGTGTGAGCGAGTCGCAAAGCCGTCGGTGTTTTGGTCATTACTGCTGCTGGATTGAAAGAAAAGATAGATATTATTGTGTATTAATTTTTTGCTCAGCCAATGCTTGGCTTTTGCAAATTGCAAAAAGTTAAAAGAGGTGTGTGGCTGTGTGTGTGTGTGTGTATTTGCGAAAAAATCACGTTTTGAAGCGGTCGATTAAACTGCGATCAAAGCGTGACACCGTTCGTGTTCAGCTGGGCTCCATTGGCATTGTTGTTGTTGTTTTAGAGGTCAGTGAGCGCCAAACGTGTTTCTTTGTTGTTGTACTTTACACCCGATGCGAGGGCAAACGGGGCAGCAATCGGATATGCAAAATCGATTTTGTGAATAAACATAAACAGTAATGAAAACAATGAAATGACTTATTTACATTACTTTTGAGACAACAAATAGAAATTACCGATTTACCGAAATGTTACTTAATAGATTTTAACACTTTAATTGGCAAACAATAGTTGAGAATAGGCAGAGGGGTACATACATACATATACATACATACATACATACATATGTATGTGTAACTTCCATATGGAAAATTATATGATAAATATTTGGAAAAGCTCTTTTGAGTTTGAATATTTAGTTGAAAGATTTTATAACTTCTATACAGAAATAAAGAAATAAATAGTTACTTTTTTTTACAGGTCTCAAATTAGAAAAAGTCTATAATTTCGAACTATTCATTTGAATTGTCAAAATTTTGTACAAAAGATACTTTCAATTTGTTTTTACCTACGATGTGAAATGTAAGCAATAAAAGCAAAAAAATAAAGAAAATTGTAAAAAAATAAAATCAAACAATTTTTAAATGCATATAAAAATTTTATTAAGAAATAAAACAAAACAAAATAAAATACATTAAAAAATTAAATAAAAATGAAATAAAAGAATGCAATGAAGTATGAAAAATTAAATATTAAAAATATTAGCTTAACAGAAAAATAGAAGAAACTATGAGAACTTATACAAATGATACTTAAATCCATACATACACATGAATGTGTGTATGTAGTTTCAAATTAGAAGTTTTTAATAGTAAAAATATCAAATTAGTGGGTTGGCAATTTCGGATGATGACAACACCAGAAATTTCTGAAAACTACATATAGAGAGTCTAAAATATGGGTACATATGTATATACTGGGTTTGTAAATCCTCAAGTGTACCTCGAAGAAGAAGGCTGGCAAATTTTTAGGCAAAAAGAGATTTTCACATGGAAGTAATCTTGACAAGTTTAGGCCGATTTCTCAAATATAAATATATACAAACTTTTTTAAAGTCAAGGGTTTATTCTAAATGCAACTATAAACGCCGAGCTTAATAATTAATCACCAAATCATATTTTTTATTTTAATACAAATTGTGGTACTTATTTCCAGATGAAATAAAACACATACAGCAAAAACAATTCAGTATTATTTAACAAAAAAAAATATAAAAACACTCCGGGTCGAAATTTAAACCAAATCCGCATTCGAATAGAAAACAATCAAATTATTCAACAAAATAAAAAATAAACATTTTAAACATGTCTCAAAAAGCTGCCACAAGTGCAGCTTCTTCAGCGAGCCTAAGGCTGAGGCCACTCATGACAATATTGCTCTTAATAATGCTGAGCGCTTTCTGTGCCAATGTAGCGAATTGCAGTCCAATTGTGGACGAGCCATCTGAAAGTCAGCGCTTGGCGAAGGCGTTGAAAATACCAAATTCGGCGGAGACGCGCGAACATAGGCGACGCTTGGCCTGCCGCCGCGCTTGCTGGGCTAAGGTAAGTACAAAGAAAAGCACTTTATTGATAAACAAAGATATATACATATATATATTTAACATTATTACTATCTACATACATATGCACATATGTATGTACGATTATGGCAACACATGTTTACATGCATCTGCAACAAGATAAAATAGATAGCCAAATACCCTTTTTGTTTTGTGCCGCATTGATGGAATCCTTTTCAATTTGTTTTTTTTTTTTTTTCTATAATGTTTTTCTTTTGCGAATTTTCGCAATTACTTTGATGGATTTGCTGGATTATTTTCGGCGTTGTTGCTCTTAAACACATACAGCAACATGTACAAAGTAAATATATATGTATTGTATTTGCAACGAAATGCCACGTGTTCACATACATACATACATATGTTTGTGCTGTTTGCATTTGCGTGTGTGTGTTGTTGTTGCATGCCACATCGCTTGCCAAAGGGGTTGCTGAACATATGTATGTATATACATATACTAGCTCACAAACATACACACGTTCACAAGTATGGACTTGACAGACCATTCGAGTGACTAAGTGAGTATTTGCAACACAGCTTAGAGCTTCATCCACATCCACCACAATATCCATCGACATTCGCCCTCTTCTCACCTCATTCATTCCCCGTATTACGCTCCTTTGCCATGTCGCCGCCGGCGCACAGTGGGCAGAAATGTATCGTTTTGGACAATAGCCCGCTGACTACTCAAATCTTAATCGATGTAAAAAATGTTCATTTCACTTCGTATTTCAAATTTGAAAATTGTACAAGTAAATTATTGAAGATAAAAGATGGATAAATAATTTTTACTCGTCCAGTTTGCGAATTCGCAAAGTCTTAAACGAATTTTACGGTCAAATTGGACTTGAGTTTTCTAAGTTATATTATAAAAATTCAAATTTATCGCAGCGAAATGTTATAGTGATAACCAATCTGAGTGTTTAATTTTTTTTTACCCATTCAGATTTGTGTAATCAACAGACTTTTGTTCAAAACGATACATTTCTTCCCACTGTACGCCGCTGCAGTATAGAAAATGTTTTCATTTCGCATTTTCATGTTTTAACTTTGTACTCGCTTAGAATTTTAAGCAGTTGGAAAAACAAATCACCAATCCACTGCGGGCACTCGCTCGCAGTTTATGACTAAGTCGAACCGCAACAGGGAGCGTTGTATAGCAAAATCCGTAGCCTTCAGTATTCAGCCCTCAGTCCGCAACTATCGAGCAGCCCTGCTTCTGTTCGTCTCTGTGTGTTCTTTGCGATCCTGGGGGAGGATTCGTTGTAATTTGTGGACAGTTGCATTTCAAATGCCCATAGGGCAATCACATCAGGGCGCCCTTGCCTAATGAACATATTTATGTGTATGCATGTAGGCATGTGAATCCATTCGTGGGTACATATGTGTTTGTGTATGTATGTAGGTAAATATTAAAGTCCAAATGAGCGATGGTAAGTTGCTTGCTCGTTAGACTTCCAGATACCAAGTTATACCACTAACAGATATAACGGGTGTTTGACCGAGTCACATAGGACAAAACATTTCCCATAATTGTATTCTCTGGGAAGTACTACGACTAACCTACCTTTCCAGCGGTAGATTACTTCAAAATTAAAATCACGCAAAGTATCTGCTCTTGGAAAAGAAATAATTTTTATCTAATCGGGTTTTTAATAAAATTTGATAGAAAAATACCCATCCGGTAAGAAGTAAAGGTTTATAGCCAAATTCATAAAAAAAAAAATAAAAAAAAAAAAAATTAAAAATAAAAATTTAAAATTTTATGAAAATGTCACTTCATAGAACTCTATAAAACTATTTTAATTTTTATGAATAAGGCCATTAGAGTTTTTAACAAAGAAAATTATTCCCGGATTTTCAGTTTTGTTATAGTTTCATAATTTTACTTAAAATATCTCAATATAAAATAATATTTAAATATATTACATACTCGTGTGTATAAACATCTTGATTCACTTGAATTGGTAATTTTTTTCTTTTTGGTGGTTATTGTTTCCGACAGGGTTGGTGTATAATATGTTTAGAGACAAACCGGTTTCGGCGTTGATCTTCAGTGTCATTATAAAGAAATTCATTCCAAAGCACACCATAGAATTTTTTTTTCTTCAATCAGGACTTTATATCTTGCAGAAATCGGAGAAGATTTATTTTAGTGATATTTGAAATTTTGAGAAAGTAGTAAGAATAAGTTAAAAGTTAAAACAAAAATATATTTTTAAAATAAGGAATTAAAAAATAATTTTTTTAAAGAAAACCTTTTTTTGGTGATTGTTGAAAAAAGTCTAACGGCAAAATTTTTTGTGGAGTTATTTTATTCCTTTTCAGTAATATCCCTGAGATGAAAACCCAAACTAGTCAGCAAAAATACTAGTTTACAACTAGAATTTAATGACTAAAACCGAACTAGTTCGAAAATGACCACACTTGTACCAAGTACAAAATGATTTATTCATGCCCTGTTTTACTTGACTTCGACAGTTTAATGAAGTACACAAAATATTATAATTTTTATTTGGGTATATTGTAAACCATTAAACCGAGTACATATCGATGGCTGAGTGGAAGGTCGACCTATCTCGGCAGCCAGTTCGAAAACGCTCTATCTCAAAAAACTTTTCAAGAACGCCCTATTTCAGAATTCGTTTCAAAAACGCCCTATCTCAGCTGCCGATTTAAAAACGCCCTATATCAGCATATTTTCAATACATTTTGGAGTGAGATAGGGCGTTTTTGAACCGAATATTGAGATGGGTGTTTTTCAATTAAATTCTGAAATAGGGCGTTCTTGAAAAGTTTTTTTGAGATAGGTCGATCTTCCACTCAACCATCGATATTCACCAGACCTGTTAAGTAATGATTAATATTCATAATGATTAATTAATAATTAAAGCATGTTTTTGGATAACCGTTTAATGATTAAATACCGATATTAGCACCTTTTTAATGATAATTATTAATAATTAATTACTTCAACAAAAAAAAAAAATTAATTCGTTAATTTTAATTACATGATTATTTTGTTATTTTTGATCATTTTCAATTATTTTTTACTTTTTTAATTACACGATTAGATAATATAATTATTTGATTAATTTCAACTATCAATCAACGATTGACAAAACTATTGACAAAAATTAAGAATATTTAACAACTTCATTTATTTCATTCTTATCCAAATCTCAAATTTTATGCTTTAATTATTACTTTTATAAAATTTAAAAGGAAAGGACTGAAATGAGCAAAGTTAATGAATTTAATTTAATTTAATGACAACTTTTATTCTCATTTAAGTTCACTCGAAAATGAACTAAAGTACATATTTATTTAATTTTTAACTAAAATGTTTTTTTTTTTTATTTAATATTATTAAAAAAGATGAAAAATATAGTATTTATTGTACCTAAAAGCTTTTACTTTTAATAAAATTCAATGAAAAACGCATTTAAATTTGTGTTCGAAAGTTTGAAATATTTATGTATTTATTTCTCCTTTACTTAATACTCAAAATATTTAACACTAATTATTGGCAAATTTAAGGCTGCTAAATAAAAATGTGTAATATGTTAAAGTGTACTTATTCAAACGTTTTTATTGTATATTCATGAATTAATTTTATTTCGTGACTCCCAAAGTAGTGGTTTTGGTCCATAATTGGACTAGTATTTTTCT